TGATCTCAGAGGTCTCTTCCAGCTTCAAAAATTCCGTGATTCTGTGCTGGAGCGCATCCAGAGAAAGGCAGCAAAGCTGGCAAAGGGTCTCAAGAACAAGTCTGATGAAGAGCAGTGAGGAAAGTGGGGTTGTTCACTCTAGGGAAAAGGAGGCTGGGGGGAGGCCTTGTTGTTCTCTACAAGTACCTGAAGGGAGGCAGCAGTGTTGGCGGGTTTGGTCTCTTCTCCCAAGTAACAAGCGATAGGACAAGAGGAAATGGGCTCAAGTTGCACCAAGGGAGGTTTAGATTCGGTATGAGGAGGAATTTCTGTACTGCTAGGGTGACTGGACATTGGAACAGGTTGCCCCGGGCAGCAGTGGAGTCCCCATCCCGTCCCTGGAGGTATTTTAAGAGTAAGACGTGCTTAGGGACGTGGTTTAGTGGAGGACTTGTCAGTGTTAGGTTAATGGTTGGACTCGATAATCTTAAAGGTCTTTTCCAACCTGGGCAAATGTGTGATTCTGTGAAACAGGAGCAGCAGGAACTCTGGTGAAGGGGCTTAGTTTTGGTGGTGTGGAGTTAGTTTTTCTGTTTTGGGAACAAAATACAATTACATATGATGAAAGATAAAAACTAACACATATTTATTAAATGGTTTTACAAACAATCGATATAATAATTCCATGTTTACAAAATAGTAATCAGGCTAGGTAAAGTGCTGCAAAATACTTTAAATAAAGACATTTTGTAATTTTCCAGTTTCTGGTTACCCGAGTAGGTGGTGCTTACAGACTTGTACACTGCTCGTGTGCTGAGAACAGACATGGAGACTACAAGGAATTTGTTCAGAAGGCTTAAAACAGTCTGGGAAAAGTGCAAAATTAACAAAAACCACGGAAAACAAGTATTTCTTCAGAACCTATTACTTTGAGTTAAAATTATTTCCCCTCCTCTGCATAAACTTATTTTTTCCCCCAAACACTGATGAATGGTAAGTAGGTGTATAGTACATACATATTAAAAGCCCTGTGTGCTGAAAATAGGTGCTTTTATGCTGGATTTGATGCACCTAAGGCTACAAAAAAAAAAGGCGATTGACGGACTCAAATGTACCAATGCGAGGGGGAATTTTCTGAGCATAAAGAACTGACCTGCATCCCACAGATACACCTTTTATTCCAGCAGGGATGCATGAAGAAACCACTGCAATGCACGGGAGGGGGGAGCGCTTTAACCATGCTACTTCAAAAATACACAACGTCCTCAGGGTACCACCAGGCAAGATAACCCAAGCAGTGCTTGATCCCACGGCGAGATCATACCCTGACTTTCCCCGTGGCACTTGATCACTCATCCACGCTGACCTACACCCTCTATGCTGCCTGTGGGCTGGAAATTGCACGTGATCAGGCTTTCCACGGAACAAACGCATGTTTCAAGGCTTTGTACTACCTCATATACTCGCTTGCCTTTTGTCCTCACTGTATATTCAGTTTCCGTAGATGGGAAGGTGACGACAGTGCTCAGTAGGAAAGATGCTGTGGACCATCGTGACAGGAATTTTTGAGTAACTGCTCTTTTGTGGCTGCTGCTAGAATACAGCAAAAGGAAGGTTTCTCAAGGGATTTCCAACTGAAGGCAGTGTGGAAGGCATCTCACAAAGGAGAGAAACGTTTTCTTTGTGTTTTGCTGTCAAAACTGCTGGCAGTGGAATGTACTGTGTCTGAGCAAAGTGCTCCTTACGTACGGTTGGGTGGAAGGGAAGAGGTAATTTCCTGCAAAAAAATTATGCATCCTTCCACTACCTGAGGAAGAATATTAAATGTTACAGAATTACATCCTTCCCATTACACAGTATTTCTGGGCTTAAATATAATCGACTACCAACACTAACAGAAAAATAAAACGCTAAAGACACTCAAATAAGCAATTACAGCCCTACAGTTTAATGATTTGTTTGTTCAATTCTTTCTGGAAAAAAATAGAATAAATTGAGACTCGTACTGGAGAAAAAACAAGCTATTTTTCTATCTTGAAACCAGAAAATGGATCATTTACAAAAAGTCTGAGAAACTCCTCCAACTGCTTCTCCTTCTTGATCTAATCTATTTTTTTCTAGAAGAGTGCTCCTGTGTTACGTACTTTATAGCCACAAGTATTCTTCAGAAAACAACAATAAAGTGCATGCCGTTATAATGCCACCGTTGACAGCCAGCCAGCCCAGCCCATCAGTCTGTTCTGGAAAAGCCCATGAAGGACTGCTCTCTCCCTCCCTGTGCCATTGCCCGTGTCCCCTCCTGGCACCAGCACTCCTCCCGTACAACAGGGAAGTGCACGTTTGTTCGGGTGTCCTACTACGTTTCATCAGCCACTTGGAAGCTGTACTCTTCTGACTGTATAGATTGTCCTAAACAAGCAGCAAGGAAACGAGGCTTTTAACTCATCTGAGAAATTTAAATGGCCTTTAAACTTACTGATTTCCTAGCAAAAGCTTCTTTTATTTTTGGTGTTGTTTTTTGTTTTTTGGGTTTTTTTTAATAAAGGAAGGACAGGTTGGGGGAAAGGTAAAAAAAGAAACTTAGTATCCAATGCTATGGAAGTGACGGCTTTTAATTAATTTCCAGAAACTCACTTTTAACGTTAAGATTTTGTAAGTTCACAAGCTGTATCTTGTGGGATCTATATCCAGCATCCACTTACTTCATAATGGATTTGATAATGAAGGCACAGGCTCACTTTTTTACTGGCAAAGGAGAGTAAACGTGGTCAATATGCATTACTGACACAAAAGCACAAGCAACAATAAAGCTAGTGTCAAAAATCCGCAGTATCTTCCTTTTTGCTACACTCCTTTTGGCCATCTGCTTATTTTTTCCACCTCCAAAGGAAAAAAAAATGGAGTTAACTTTAAACACAGGTTTACCTACACATATATGTTAGTGGAAGATTTCTGTAATCTGTTGCTGTACTTTCTGAGGGTCCTAGATGACAGAATTCACCTCTTCAAATGCCAGCAAATGGAAAATCACTTGAATAGCAGTAGCAGCTGACATGGTCCCTCAACTTTGCTAACGGTTTACATCACAATAAGAAAACTAGCTTTACTTCCTCCTATTTCTTTGATCACTATTGCTTGGTATTACAATTCAATTTTGCCACAGGTGAACAAAAAAGCCCTAAAAAAAGTTAAGTAAGTTACTTGCTTCAGATCCCATGCCACTGCCTCAGCATGTGTCTTTAAACTTGCAGATAATTTAAACAAGTTCATTTTTATTTGTTTTAAATTACATGCCAAGAAGAGGATTCCTAGTGTCTTCTATAGCAAATAGCCTCACTGAATACTTTTAAGTATCTTAGGATATTCAGCTTGCAACACAACTTTTGTTGTAAGTGATAGCAGCTGTTCTGAGGGGGGAAAAAAATACCAAAAGCAAACCTCACAGAATCTTGAATTAAGGAAGTGGCATCTAAACCCCCCTTTTCTTTATTTTTTTTTTTAACCTTTAACCTCTGTTCCAAACAATAACCACCCTCACCTGCTCCCAAAAAGGGCATTTGGTTTGCATGGTATTAACTCTTAGATACAAAAACGTGTTGGCTGACGTCACATGGGCAGTACTGCCAAGGACCAGGCGCTACCAAGGAACATGGCAGTGGTCAGTCAAACAGCATGCCACTTGATGAATCTACAAGCCTAAAACAGCAAAAAACTTGGAAATGCATCACCATATCCAAAATAATTCAAAGGTTTTAAGTATAAAATCAAGTTCTTTGATAGTGTTGCACACATTTAAACTAGAATTGTGCTGGTTAATGTGTTTCATACATAGTAGATGCACTACACATAATGCTAACTGCACAGATTCATACTTTTCAGTATGATTGAGGGAGGTTAGATTTAGTTAAGCTCATTGCAGTCCTCTGACAACTTAACCTTGCTGTGTATTATGTGATTGGCAAACAAGAGTAAATAAACTGCTGACGTTGAAAATTTGGCTCAGGACCCCAAAATACATGGTTGGCAAAAACAAAAAAAAACCCCTCTCTCCCATATCTTTTGAACAACTGACCTCAAACACTCATCTGTGACCAAACAGTGGATAGATAATTCATTTCCATGCTATTACATTGAGGTTTAACTACCAGAAACATTACACTATCAGTATCAGCCGATATTTATCCAGTTAATTCACTCTGCATAAGGGAAATTATTACAACACATCTAACGGGATAGTTAAAGCTTACAGCTCAGAATTTTCCTTTTTTTTTTTTTTTGCATTTGTTTTTTTTAATATGTTTTATACTTAATTTCTTCTGTGTTACCAGCTGCAATTTCCAGGTTAATGACTTCCAAGCAGATTTGAAAGGAAGCCTGAAGATTTCTTCTTTTCCTGGGGTTCTGCTTCTTGGCCCTGTGAAAGTCCCAACTCCTTCTCAATCTGCTCAAGCTCAGACTGGTCGAGCAGTTCAAAATCATCAGCTTCCTCTGTGTCTGTCTCCTCACTCAAACTGGGCACCACATGTGAGGGAGCTTGCTGTGTGGACTGCAACTGGTCTTTGATGGCAGCAGACACGGCAGCTGCGATGACATCCCCAGCAATACCACTCATTAAATTAAAGGTTTGGTCACTGGTCAAAGGCAAGGAGAGCCCTGCAGTAGACGGTCTCTCTTTACTCTGTCTGGAAGCACGATCCACCTTGAAATACGTTTGTTCTTTTTTTCGTTTTTGCTGGATGGGCATGCCAATGCTTGAATCATCATCATCATTTGTTACGGCACCATTTTCTAAAGAAGGAAATTCTGAAAGATCTCTAGCGAAAGCTTCTTCGTGATCGCTAGGTCGGTCAAAATCTATTATAGGGTTACAGAAGGAAACAGTGTTAGCAAACATGAAAGGCCTCCCAAAAAACCAGCCAAATGTAAAAATGCAGTTAGTAAGTGTTCCTGTGAACATGTTTACTAATCCATAGTGTAGCAGTCTTCTGTAATCTCAGTGCAGAGGAGCTTTGTATGACATCTAAAATACAATGGTTTTGAGGTTTGAAATCACAGACTGGCTTAGGTTGGAAGGGACCTCAGAGATCATCTAATCCACATCTAATCTGGTACCCCAAATCACCTGGCATCAACCTAACTCAGAAAGTTGAGGAAAGCGTGGTTTCGAAAATGGTGTCTAGCTGTTTATGAAACAACACATGCAAAACTTTAGCACAGCTAGTTCTAAATATACCAATGACATAAAGTCCTAAAATTTACAATGCAACAACAGGTCTCTCAACTCCTTTTCCTCACTGTATGTATATTAATTACAAATATGTATGCATGTATGAATGTACTACAAGCTTTTAATACACTTGTGAAATAAAAAAGAAAGAATGTTTATGTGATTAAATAAAGATATAAAAACAATGTAAAGACTTATTTTACAACTTTTTCCTTTCTTGGCCTATACTCATATTCCGTAGGAAGCAGAAAATGGAAACTCTTCAGATGACTGAGATCATTTCATGTTTTCAAGAGGATAAAAAGCAGAATGTAAACAAATAAAAAATTAGGTTTTAATGACTGCATTAATGGCACGGTATTTGTTACTAGAAATTTGTAAAGTATGCTGTACAGTACATGGCCTGTGGAGTAGGCCTAAATAAGCATAAGGGAATACTTTGATCTAGTATTCGAATGAGAAGGTAAAAAAAATAATCAGTTTCAACTTACTTTCTATGAAAACAAGCACTAGGAGCATTCATAAGGGCTAAGGAAATGAATCCTAAAAATGTCTCATACATCACTTTCTCCATTTTCTTTAGGAAAAACAGGCTGGGAAGGTGAAGAGGAAGGGCTGTGCTGTATGCAGAGTCGTGGCTCAAACGCACAGAGCTTTGGCAGGAGATGAGCCAGTCCTCGGATGCATCCCATCTGGTCGTGCACTTTTGTGTATGTCCCATTTGCTAAAATACGCCACAGGGAAGAAGATTGGGCGTTGTTTATTTTTCACTTATCAAGGCTTTTAATGCAGTTTCTCACATTATCCTTCCAGCCAAACTGGTGAAGCAAACTGGGAAGAGAACTGTAAGGTGGGTGGAAAACTGGCCAGACCACCAGTGTCAAAGGGCTGTGATCAGTCATACAAGGTCCAACTGTTCCATGGCATCTCTCAAAGGTACTGAAACCAACGGTGTTCAGTGTTTTTATTAATGATTTGAATGACAGGATGGAGTGCACTCTCAGCAAGTCCACGGGCAGAAAGGAACCACTGTGGGGCAGGTGTATTTGATATTCTGGAGGGAGGGGCCCTCAGAGGGACCTTGACAGGCTGGAGAAACAAACAGGCTAAAAAGAAACATCATGAAATTCAACAAAAGTAAATGTCCTACATCTGGGATGGAATAACCTGTGCAGAAGAACAGGTTCAGGCCAACGGCACAGAAAGCAGCTTTCAGCAGCAGGACCTGTGGTCAGCAAGTCAGTGGTACGTCCTTGCAGCAAGGAAGACCAACCACATACTGAGCTATACTAGCAAAAATAAAGTCAGAAATTTCATGGAAGGGATTTTACCCTTCTATTCAGCACCTGAGGACACACATTTGGAGCACTTTGTCCATTTTTGACCTCTCCAGTTCAAAGCAGAGAATGCCGGACTGCAGTGAATTGCCTGGAGGGCCAGCAGGATCATTAGGTGGCTGGAGAACAGGACGTAAGAGGAGATGCGGAGAGAATGGGCTTTGTTCAGCCCTAAGAGAAGGCAGCAGATGGGGGATCGCTTAGTTGTCTTTACCTTATGGGAAGGTACAGAGAAGATGGGGCCTGACTCTTCTTAAAAGTGCACAGTAGAAGGATGAGAGCTGGAACGTGGGAAATTTTGACTCACTATAAGAAAAAACTTTTTCATCATAGGGTGAGCAAATATTGAAAAAGGCTGTCCAGGGAGGTTGCTGGATCTTGGCCACTGGAGACACTTGAAATTCAAATGCTCACAGCCCTGAGCAACTTGATAAAGTTGAATATGCTGTGAATAGGAGGTTAGATGAGATGAATGGCAATTGCTCATTCCAACTTATGATTCTGTGATCGTACAATGCTGTCTATTTACAAGTTGAAATATTAACAAAATAATTTGTTAATTTGGCCTGTATAATGTTGTCAAGTAATATCACCCTACTTGTCATTTACAGTGAGCTTTTCCTAGAAGAGGAGAAATGGTAAGATGAGCAGAGCAACAAATTCTCAGATAAGATTACATCAAACTACTGTTGTCCTTAATCTTCATTCAGGCAAAGTGCTAACTAAAAAGCTTGGTCTGTAAAAAGTAAGAACTTAGAGATCTGATCAAGATCAAGCAAATGCTTAAGAATTCTTCCTAGCCTTAGTCTTCACATCTATTTTAGGCTCATTGCTGGCTGTCTTCAATAGCACTCTAGTAACAAACCCTAGTAACTCTTTAATTGGCTGTTTAGCAATTCAAACTATTCACTTTTTCTTCCTTTTATCTGTATAGCTTACCCACAAAAGCCCTGATATTAACTTAAAAGGTTTACTTGCTTAAAAAATTTGGCAGAAGAGAGTGCTAAATCTGGCACTTATTGAATGTGTCAGTTTTACCCATCACTACTTACTTATTTAGACACCTACTGATGTAATTTATTATTTTTAAGATGACGACAGTTCCTACAGAAGATGTACCAAAACTATATAAAACACAAAATTATATAAAAATTCATTGTAGGGGAAAAGAAAAAACCAAACAAAAAAATTCCATCCACAAATTCTCTAAATGCTTTCAGGTAACTTACATATCTCAATTCATTGATGAAAAAGCTGAAGCTGTTACATACCATCAGATGTGTCTGTCTGTGGAGAATACCCCTCGGATAAGTTAAAGGTCCCATTATCGGTCCAAGATACTTCTGATACATCTGTGTCAGACACCGACAGCTCTTTGGCAACAACTGCAGGACTAACCTACACATAAAAGAGTGCCATACATGGTATTCTTATACTCAAAATATTCACACTACAGGAAGCCAATACTTAAATACTGAAAAAGAAACCTCTTGCATATCATAGAAATCTAAATCGCCTCCTGTTTAAGTTTTAATATAGAAACATCAAAATAGTAGAAGTATACAATACTTAGAAGTGCAGTATCCCTCTTTGTAATAACTGAAAGCTGTACTATACTAAAGAAGCATAGAGAATTCCAGTTATTCATTCAGAAAGTAATTTCCTACTGTAATGAAAGCAGAATGACCCGATGAGTACAAAATACACATAAATGAAAAGAAATGCATAAACTTGGATCAAAACAACAGCCCGTTACCTACAGACAGTCCAAAATTAGCTAAATAAAAAGGTCATTAGCCTTTACAAATTTATAAATATTCAATTATGTCAGCTACAAATTTTTATCCCATGAGATACAGATTTATTATTTTGCAGAGTACAACAACACTTTCAAAGCGATCACTGTCAAAGTCAGGCTCCATACACTACTGATCAAATAGTACATAAGAATTCCTATCAATCTCTATTTTTTTTTTTAATATCAACCAGTGTTCTGATTATAGGGGAAAATCTTTTGCCATACAGTTATGTAGAATATTAAAGGAGAAAGGAGATCATGTGTTCTTCTACAGCTCTAGAAAGTTATTTATGTATAGATAATATACTGATTTACAATACCATTGAAAATGATCAGACAGGTGATTATAAAAGTATCTGACAAATTATGTAGGTTTTCCAATGAGCGTTTCCCTTTTATATTTTAATTTGATAAAAATTAACTGCAATCTCACTGTTGCAAATAAAAATAGCTGCCTTTACTATTAAATGCAACTTTCATCATTTTATAGCCAATACAAAATAGACACATTCTTAGTTTAGTAGGCCAAAGAAACCATTACCCTGAAGGCCAGAAATCACTAATGCAATAAGTTAATTAGTATAAACCTAGACATGAGGACTATGAATCACTCTGAAATCATACTGCTTAGTCCAGGAACACAGCCTCCTGGGCAGGTTAAAGTCTTCCACAGAAGAACAGAGACAGTAGTCTAGATACTCTCCATTATCTATATAGATTTTAAAAGCAAGATAGGGCTGACTGAAAAAAAGTCACCTTAGGACACAGAGCTGATATGTCTAATTCACTGTCATCTTCTGTGGGTTTTGTTTTTGCTGTTTCTGAAAGAAAAAAAAATATTTTTTATCCTACTCATGACAACGGACTTCCAGGTTCAGTGTGTGTTCTCTGCCACACAGCTTATGCAGTACAGCAAGCTTTCACCTGTAGACACAGCGCATCATTTACATAATATACTATTAAGGTGAGAGAAACAAGGCTGATTGAGACGCTAGGTACTTAGCAAAATATACCATGCAACGGCCAAAGTGGGAGAGATAATGTTGCTCTGAAATACATTCCAACAGATGTATTAAGCTGTTGCTCACCATAATATTATCTGGCCTATGTATTTATTTTCTATCCAGTTTGTTTGTTTGTTTCTTTCTTTCTTTTTCTATCTACTCTATCTATATATCTATCTATCTTTTAAACTACATCTCTAGCACAATGCACAGTCTTAACGTATTATTAGAACAGGCAGTGTAGTTATCTCAGCACATTACTTTTATGTGAGAACATAAAATTTTCTTGATAATTGCATGTAATCTTCATTCAGAAAACCCTTCTTCTTTGCATCCCGCGATCACATTTACATGTAAATATGCATACAAAGCATCCTCTGAAGTCTGGCAGAATGTTGCTCCTTACAGATGAACATAAATTTTGCCTGCTCTCTCTGAGAATATTTAACCAATATAAGCTCAAAAGCACAGTCATATTATTTTTGGTTGCCTGTTTTTGCAACTTGCTATTTCCTCTCTTGTGCCAGTGCAAGGGTTTGTGAACCCGTGTGGTGAACCCGAGTGGTGAAACATGGTAGGGACCTTGTCTGGCTTAAATTAAACTGGAGAGTGAGAGGCAGGAAAGAACAAGTCTAACCTCAATCATTTCCTCAGTGCTGGCTTATGAAATTTATGAAAAAATAGTCTGACCTCTCTCTCTCTGCCATTTTCACTTAAAAATAGAATAAGATAGAATAATACATGAAAGAAAATTTTCAGTATATTATTCCTTATTTCCAACAACTACCCCATCATATACAAAAGAAGGGGGAAAGGCAGAAAGTTCCTTTCACTGTATCTCGGAACAGCACACTGTATGATGAATCATTACAAGAAATGCATATTTTAAAGCAGATATGAAATCTCCTGATGTATCATTCACTGCAAAGGGTAGGCTACCTGCAAGTAATGTGACTACACTAAAAAGGTTTAATTACCAAAACACACAAAGCAAACTAAAGATAATATTGTTCATGTAAATATTTTTCTTGAAATAGCTTTGTCACTTAAAATCTAAATGATTCCAAGGTTATAAAAATTTCCAGTAAGATAGGTGAAATTTCGTTTTAAACTGATTTCTCCCCTTTCTTACTAAAAACTTTGATTAATTTGTACGTACTTTTCTACTGTAATTCTTAAATGTTTATTGAATATTTGGGGAAGAAAAATTCTTCTTGCTGTTGGGAGTGAAAACGAGGTGGATTTAGATACTGGAACAGAATTCAGTCTCCTCTTGAAAATTCTGTTACATATTTATTTTGTGTTCTTGAGTGAGTGTTTCTCATGGGTAAGTTGGCCTTATCTAAATGGAGATAAGCACCACATAGCTATAGCAAGTACTTTTTTCTGAAAACTTACAAGCAGTACATTTAATCAACTATGAAGAGAACCATCAGTCTTGCCTTGTTTCCTTCCACAAAATAATTTCTTTTACCATACCCAGACATCTGACATACATTATCACTCATTATAAACCGAAGAACAGTATCCAGGTTCAAAGCAAGAAATACCTTTACTATTGGCTTCAGAGGACAAACCAAACTTTCTGCAAGGTAAACAAAATTTTCTTTGCATACAGAAATACATTACTTGAGACTATACTTAATCACTCACCAGATCTCTCTTTTTTCTTCTGGTTGATATATTCCACTATTCCAAAATCAAGTTTCATCAGAACAGCCTTTATTTTGCTGCACACTTTCTGTCCAAATTCATTGCACTTAAGGAAGGGACACAAAAAGGCACACAATACTGTGATAAAAATGGAGACAGAGAAAAATTGTATTGAAATATTGCTTTATAAGAAGTTACTCAATGAAGCTTAAACAACGTATTTGCAGAAGATACCTACTAATTTTACAGAATGCAATTAGTTTTACACAAAAATGCACTGTGAAATGCCCATGTCAGACATACTGTTAATGTCAAATCCTATGCAACATTGTGCCAGAATCAACAGGCTGAAAATACTTGTAAGCTGACCTACATATGACAAAAAGCACTTGTGGGCACCTACATATGTATGTGTATATGCGTGCATATATCATGGAATAGTTTGGGTTGGGACTTTTAAAGGTCATCTAGCCAACACCCCTGCAGTGAGCAAGGACAACTTTAACTGGATGAGATTGCTCAGAGCCCCATCCAGCCTGGCCTTGAATATCTCCAGGGATGGGGCCTCCACCACCTCTCTGGGCAACCTGTTCTAGTGTTTCACCACCCTCACTGTAAAAAATGTCTTCCTTATATCTAGTCTCAATCTACTCTCTCTATTTTAAAACTATCAGCTCTTGTCCCCACAACAGGTCGTATTCTCCCCATCTTTCTTGTAGGCCCCCTTTAAGTACTGGAAAGACACTATATGGTCCCCCTGAAGCCTTCTTCCAGGCTGAACAACCCCAACTCTCTCAGCCTTTCCTCACTGGAGAGGTGTTCCGGCCTTCTGATCATTTTTATGTCCCTCTTCTTGACCACTCCAACAGGTCCAGGCCTCTCTTACAGTGAGGACTCCAGAGCCGGACACAGAACTCCAGGTGAGGTCTCACCAGAGCAGGGGAGAGGGGCAGAACCCCCTCCCTTGACCTGGCCACCACGCTGCTCAGCTTGGTGTCACTGACCAACTTGCACGTGTGAGTAAATATATATAAATAAATAAAATACTCCCTACACACAGACCAAATGATGAACAAACATACATAAATCATGATTGAAAAAGAGCCTATACTTACACAGGACATAGGAGAGGACAACTCCAGGAATGTAACTTCCCAAGACAGTGAAAAATGTACATACACTGCAGACTAACAGGCAAAACTGGAAAAAAAAAACATTACAACTGGCCATTAACATTTCTACTGTGCAAATATTTAGACCACTTTTCAGAAGAAAAATGTTGCACGCTAAATGCGTCTAAATCTAGAATCCACTGGAAAACTGAATTATTTTTTCTTAAAAATTAGGGAAAAACTTTAACCTTTTTGGTGCAAATAAGCACCAAATAATTAGGATATACCTCTTCTCCTATTATAGAAATGTGCTATTTTTATTCATTTATGTAAAGGTTTAACAAGCTCACAGTTATTGCTAAAATTACTAGAAATTACTTCACCTTCACTACACAAAAAAAGGTTAAACAATTGATACGCAGGAAAACAGCCAGATCACTAACTGAAATGTTACAGCGCACACTTGCTGCATGCTTACAAAAGCAAAAAATCCTTCCTGTAAGGACAATTCTCTCCCGTCATGTTGCTTTGTGAAACTGTTTTCTGTCATATGCTGGCAAGCATTCTCTTGATGTTTGTTGGTTCCTCTGAGGTCCCTGTCAACAAAACTGATCTGAAAAATTATATTGAAAAATATAAAACTTGAGATTCAGCCTCTGCTTGATCATCTCTTGCAACTGCACAAATGCTGAGTACAGAACTGATCTGCTGAGAGCTTACAGAAGGAATCCATTTTCTTCTCTGTGCACAGCACCAGTGCCTAATTTGCCTGTAATTATAGCAGTAAAATAGTGCCCTGGCTTAGAGAATGAGGGCAGGAAAAATACAGGAAAACATGTTGTCAGAATTATCTTTTCTAAATCAGCATTAGATAGATCGTAGCATTCAGTTACTGTGTCACGTCACCATGTGACAAAATTACAGGATTGTGTATACTGATAGCGTGTTTCCTTACCTCAATATACAGCTACTTCTTTTAAATATGACTTTATTATCCTAAACAAATAACTTCTTTTTGTATGATTTACTCATATTTGAAATATATTTCATCCTGTTGCTCATCTGTATTTTCAGTCTAAATTCCTAGTATTTGAGTGTGGTACTGCACACTTCCTGTTTCTTAATTCTGAAGGATCTGTTTTCAGTAAAGATTTTGTGGCAAAGTTAATTGAGATAAAAAGAGGAGAAAAAGCCTCCTAATACCCTTTTCAATTGTATTTCACAATAAGAATACAAAAATAAAATCTACTATTGCCACGATGTATTCCTACATTATTTGTATTTTTCTTTGGAAAAGAAAGCTGCTTCACTTTTGGCTAGAACTGCATAGTGATATTCTTCCTATCTGGAAGGAAGAAACCTTACTCTTGCCTCCTCATGATGTAGGCTTGCCAGCTCAGTCTTTCCAGTAAAAAAAACCAAACTACAACTATATCTCTAGAGAAGAATTATCACAATAAAATATGTGGAATTCTCTTCTATCTTGTTAATACTTGTGCACCTATTCCTGAAAACTACAGTTATATGGAAAAAAATCCAGGTGTATGTTTTTTCTGCCTTTTCAAGTGTTTATTAAATTGTGACATTTTAAATTTCCTTTCCATGGGATGGCTGGTGAGGGTCCAGCAGATGTAAGGGGAGGGACTGTATTGCTATAAATTTAACTCTGAGCAGTTTTGCTCACTGATGACTTTCCTGTGTTTTTCACATCAAAAAGTTAGCAGAAACTCATGACCAAATGTAGCACGTATATTTTACTTTTAATTTTTGTACTTGCTTGCTTGTTGGGATTTTTTTTTTAAATCTATCTTATCGCTTTAATAAACAATGTCATACTATTAATCTTTTTATTGAACAATATTATACTATTAATCTTACTCAGGAGTGCTTACCTTGCCAGGGTTTTGTTCCTTGAAGTGGGACATTTCTTGAAGAAATACGAATAAATTCATCAGTGTTTCTGAAAGGCACTGATTTATTCTGGGTCTGTAGTCTTGCCTGGAATCGACTTTCCAGCTGAATAAAACAAACAAAAATAGCCAACAACTCAGATTATAGCTCTTAGAAAGTTGAAACTGGTTGAAAGCATCACGTTGTAAAGCAACAGCCTCCAGAAATCCAGTGGATGCTGCTATACTATAGAAACCTGTGCTTGTTTCCACATATTTTATATTGGACTAATTTGACCTTTTTTAATCAAACAAAATCTGCTCAGTAGTAGCAATTCTCAGTCCATATAAGCAATTTTATGGAAGAAATTACTGCTTATTCATTCTGGCCATATGAAAACACTGAGTTCAAGGCACAGCAACCAAACGCCAAACTTGCCTCTTAATATTATTTTTCTCTAAAAAACATACCACACTATGTGGCCACAGATATGAATACCTTCAATTTCATTCATACAATCTTTGTGATTTTTCTTTTTCTATTTTTTGTCTTTTCCAAACTATGATGATCCATAAGCGGTTGTTAGCCCACTTAGAAAAAGAGAAATTGCTGTTGAAGTCTTGATGTTTACATTCGTTTCCTTATTGTTTTTTTTATTTTTCTACTACACTGAAAGAACTGTTTCTAAAGCTTAGCTTATGACTCTTCAGTCCTTTTGATACAATTTAAAAAACTGTACTGAAGAATTTGCTGAAAAACATGAGAAAGTATATGTATCTAGTTTGGGGTGATCAGTTTAGACAATCCCCAGTTTAAACAATCATATGGTAGAGTTTGTCAAATCAAACTATTTAAGTATGGATGTAACACCATGTGAATACTGAGAATCAGAAGTAAACTCTGTACCAGTTTTATAAAGCTGTATTTCACATAACTCATAGCTTTGATCACAGTGAATGCAAGTAAGCCATAAACAATCCCACAGTCGTTTTGTTCGGATACATAATCCATTAGATGTCCAATGCATCACTGCATTAACGGTCAACGTTTTGTCACAGGTTGATCAAATTACAGCATAAATAAAACACTTCATCATGAAAAAAATGAATGCACAAGAGTTGGTGCGTAGCAATAAGGACATACACACAGATTGTCAGATCAAACTGCCAACTCGTATTTCCAAATAATTACTCTGCTATTTAGCTAGTAAAATACCAGAAGGCCCTGTTAACAGTTCTTATTATTCAGAATGCCCTAGTACAACTTAAATTTCAGCAAGCATCAGTAAGTGATGTTTTGGACTGGACTGTTAACTCAGATTTCAGGTCACAGATAAATAATGAAACCAGGCAAATGACAAGTAAATATATATAAACATCTACTTCACTTTATCTTCCAACTAAAAAAAAAAATTATTTATAAATCGTCAGTTGCATAACCCAAAATCTTTGTCATTTCTCCTTTACAAACTACGATAAAAGGAGAAACTTAACTCTGAATTTCAAATCCAATGTATCAGCAAAAAGAACACCAGAATTAAGTTCTCCTTAAAACCTATAACAGTTCAGCTAAATCCGAGACAACGTGTGACGCCCAATTCAGCAAGGTTTAAAGCCGCTTTTTCTTACAATTTTAAAATCTTGCTCTTATTTCTCATAAACACACAAGATAAGATGATACTGGGCTTATGCTGAATTGTATACTTTGGTCCAGCTGCTGCCTACATTTAAATTTGTGGATTTTTATATACTTACATCTAAGCCAGGAATAAGTCTTCTTGTCCCACTTACATGATATCTATTTTTATTCTACATACCTTCTTTTCTGTCATGCTGCAGACAAATTCATTACTTGGAAGCAGCTGCCCTAACAACAGAGGTTAGCCACTTACTCCTATTTTCAGAGACAGTCTCCACAGCTTCATTTTTGTAAAAAGTCAGGAATACTTTCAGTCAAAAACGTTTAGTGAAACACACATCTTTCTCTACAGCTATATTTAAGTACCGTACAGCGACTTCACCACGAGGTGGTGACACAGCAACATCAGGACTAGAGCAAGGTTTGTGAGCCATTTCATAAGTGGCACGCGTTGGGGCTGCAGAATTCACACTGGCAGAACATGACTTAAAGAAAAACTAGTATCTCAACCACGGCGTAGAACTGATTAAAGTTAAAACCCCTAATTGTTGCCCTATTCCCAGTTTTATTATGATACAGTATTGATAGTATTGCAGTAGCATGATTTCCTCTTACGTCACAAAATGCTGAGGGTGATGTTCCCCCCCTTCCGCTGCTCCCTTTCAGGAAAAAAAAAAAAGAACAATTTTAAATAGTGTACCCAAAACTCATAGGATGAGAGCCTCCTATCTTGGACTAGGCGAATTTTGCAAGACAGAGAAAACGCAACGTATTTTCCTGCCATGCATGGCACTGTATGCAGGTGATTCTCTGACAGAAGCTGTAAATATAACCATTAAACAACTCATGGCGAACACTGCAGGAACCCAGCAGGAGGGATCAGCAATGTCACACAGAACTTTCTGTCTACCTCCCATCCACAATACTGATTTCAATTTCCAGCCTCTCTGATAATTAGGGGCTTGAGAATATTAGTATACAAGCGTTTCATCTTATGAAAACTGCAATTTTTAAGGATAGGATACTCTCTTAAAGAAACATTGCTTCCAGCTTTTGCTGGTTGAAAGATGCCGGAAGTACGAGCTACAAAGCAGATAAAAGGTATTCCTAGATGCTTTGGCCCCAGGTTCTGTAAGTGGTGCATCCACAAAGCAGCAGCCAGGCAGGAAGAGTGGATACTACAGGTGAAGTCTGCTCCAAAACATTACAGACCCACTACTAAGCTTGCTCTGCAGAAGAATACTTGACACAAGAAATCACGAGGGACCTTTGTCAATTCTACCATAGTCACACTTTTCTGTTTTACAGGGAACACCAAGGGCTATTTTGAAACCTTATCCTGATCTGAGGCAACTAGAGGTGTTAGAAAATCAGCTTGCTGATCTTCAGTGTGACAGTCAGGTACGCACGCTGCCTCTTCTTGTTCACACCTCCCAACAACCAGCACCCCTGCTAACCTCGGTCCCTCCTGCCCCCTTCCTCAGAGCCCGCTTGAGCAGCAGTGCTATCCAGACAGAGGCCAGAGGGCTGGAACCAGAGGCCAGCAACAGAGATCCTGGTGAAGGGGGAGTGAGAAAGAAAGGGGGAAAACATGTAGCTGTATGTATGCCAAAATAGATAGGTTACGTCATGCCCTTGTAGAAACAGAGATAAACACTAAACCTGCCTTGGATCAAAAGGTGGCAGACACGTAACGATGCATACTCCAGACAAATTAATTTTTCAATGATTACATTTAAAGACAAAAAAGGAAAAAACGGAGATACGTGATGTAGATGATGAATGTGGAGGGCTTGACTACAACATCAGTCAACCAAGAAACTAAAAAACTACTTCAGCATAATGTTAGTGGCGTTACTTACAGCACCTTAACACATGACTTAACTGTGAACCCTAAACTTCCTGCCACACAGCTTTTGGGACTCCTGCCTAGGCGCTCTCTTGGGGATGTAAGCAGCCATCCCTCTCTAAACACCTTAAAAGCTTTTTGTGCACAATTTAGAAAGAATAGAGGTTTATGCTCCCATCACTTATCCTGAGTTTGATATAAAGAACTACACTTCTAAATCAACTGTCAATAAGGCTGAAGGTGTCAAAAATTAATTAGTTGTATCCTCCTGACTAGCTAGTGCATGGTTTCCAAAACTGAGCAAATACACAAACTGTTACCTAGTAGCTGCAAAGAAAATCCCCACAAAACACTCTCCCACCCCAGATGCTTCAACCCATCACAGTCACACACTCTGGCCAGAAGAGTCAGTGGCATTACATTCTCTAAAAATGACTGATGGTGTCATGCTCTCATTTTGTACCTAGACATCTGTTCAGGCAAAGCCCCGTCACATTTCTCTCAGAAAGGTCAGGAGCTCTCATGTTACCGGTTTAAAGATCTCTTCGTGATGTGCTGGATTTTTTTTAATTATGTGCACACAGTTTTATATGTATCTTCACGGAGAGACGCTACTGAGAACGGCAGCAGCGACAGAGTACACCGTGGTGTGGTGGATCTGAAGGACTGCACCTACATAAACAAAGAGTCAGTAATTAAAGAGCTTCTGAATCTTCGGGATTTCCCAACTGTAATCACACACGCTCCAAACCTAGACAGACTCTGTAATTTTAAGGGTAACTTAGAATGTATTAGTCAAGGTTGAAGAGATGCAAGTTACATTCCCAAAGACATGTAAATACAAATAAAGGTAATACAGCTATTTTGTAGTATTTTTTAAAGTAGTATCTAGAGCTTAGGGAATGATGCAGCTGTAAGGGAAGTGTATACATAAGGACAAACCCTAAAGGCAACCAGGAGTTGAGTATGAGACTTAACCAAATGAAATCAAGTATGTAAACTATTAGCAAAACCTAATCAAGCTGGTTTATACTTTCAGAAATTTCACAGGTCTCTCCTGTGAGGAACGGAATCACCACAGTGCAAAAGGGAGTAATTATAATGATGTAGTAACTCTTCTTTGAAATAAACAATTTATACCTGAAGACCTATACCAAAAATATATTTTAAAATTTGTCTTCTAAATTATTCAGGTACAGAGATAAGGGGTAAAAAATAGTATTTAGATGAAAAAAGATTGTGAAAAACACATTTAAATTACAGGTGACCATGTACTCAAAATGAAAATAACCATCCCTGTCTCTTTCAAAATACAAAATAGTGTAAACCCAGCACATTTTATAGTTAAGTGTATAAAATCAAACTACCAATGGCAAAACCTCTAAAATTTACTACTGAACTATGTGGTAGAAAACAATGCAATATTGATTAGCCTTACTAGAATACAATGTAACAAACTTGTGAATGCTACCTGCACTAGGAGGGAAGACATAACAGCAAGCACCACTGAACTCACAGCATAGCATTTTAATGACCTATGTGGCTAATTTAAAAGGCGATTATGCAGAATTGTGCTTTATCCTGTGCCACCTTTGGATCCTATGCAATCGTTAAGTATACTAAAATAATTATATTTGTG